AATTCAAAATTCAAAATTTCTCAAAGTCGAATTCGATTCTCGAGTACATTGAAATCACGAAGCATTGAATCGTGGCAAAAAAAAAGAATTCGATATCTGCTGGTTAATTTTGTATGGAACGATTTCGTATTGAAAATTCGAAAATTCTTTTTTTCGGTCATTTCTAGGGAACTTTTGAAAATCGATGTTGCAGCTCGTGTCGTTGTCGAAAGATCCTCAAGTTCCTAACTGAAACCATAATTTGCACGTCGACTGTGGCGCCAAATGAAACCTCTGGGAATACCCGAGAAATAAAGAAATAGAATCGGAGAACGAGTTACATTGTTAAAGCGAGAAAAAGCAACGAGTTTGTACGCTCGAAGTTGTCTAGGAATCTAGGGACTCTAGGGAGTTCCTGGAGGGCCGTTTCGGGTATTTCATGGTGGCGAGTTGTGCGCAGACGCGCGAGCGACTCCCCGTTATTCGCGCATGCCTAGTAACTCACGTATTTTCTGCGATGGGCATGCGAGGAGCCATATATACATCAACAATATTATATTCTAACGATTACTAATTAATAATGTACAATAATTTTAACGATTGCTGGACGCTGAAGTCTTTAAAGCATTATAAACAGTGTTGCACGATGAAGGTTTGCGCGGTACCGGTGCGAGAGAGAGGGAGAGAGTGAGAAATAGCGACGAAACGTATCCTGAGTGAACAGTAAGACGAAGATAGAGAGCTAAACCGGACGGAAGTATATGTATTTGTTTTTTTGAAATCAGTGCGTATTTTTTTTTTTTGGCGGGAAAACGAGGCGGGAATTATATTCTGGGAAAGGATGGAGGAGCGTTGTTGCCGGCTTGTGTTTCACGGGGCCGCCATATTGGCGTTGTGTTCTTTCGAACCATTCACGTCGCCTTTCAGCGATTCGAAGAATTTTTAACCGGGCAGAATTTTGCAAAAATATTTAACTTATACCTTTTTTTCCCCCAAAAACTTCGAGTCTCTCGAGTAATCGCGTGCATATTGAATTCCAATTATTCGACGGAATTATTCGCGTTCACGGTGACGAATAACGAGGTCCGAAAATTCCATTAATCGCGTTCGATTGTTATACAGAGCTGTCAGCAAAGTTCATTTGCGAATAACCGAACAAAACGTCACAGATTTATTCTTGAATAACGAATAAGGTATCGACGTGTTTATTCGTGAGTAACGAATAAGACGTCTTCGTTTATTCGAAAGCGACGAATAATGATTTCATTCATCGATTTTTTCGAGAAAGGTTATGAGAAAGGTTATTCGTTGTTCTTGAATGATTTCAATTTATTCGCAACGTTTATTCGATTATTTATTCGAGAGCGACGAATAATGATTTCATTAATCGATTTATTCGAGAAAAGTTATGAGAAAGGTTATTCGTTGTTCTTGAATGATTTCAATTTATTCGCAACGTTTATTCGACTATTTTACTCGAGCCAGAATGAATTTCATTCGATTCATCGGTTTTTGAGGACAACTTTTCGAGTCTGCGACATCGTGAAATTTGGCGCGCAACGAAATTCGATCTTTTTTTTTTTTTTTAACGAAAGCTTGCTCGAAGACTTTATTATTTCGAAAAATTCTTGTTATCGTTTTAAATGCAATACTGTGAACCTCAACGAACAGCGGCGGGGGGGGGGGGGACCCCCCCCCTGTCTCTTTGGGGGAGGAGGGGGTGGGGGGATTTGACAACTCTTCCAGGGCGGTTGCAATAAATTTCTCGTAATATCCCGAAGTTTCTCAAGAATTTTCAAATTTTATTCTAAAAAATCAAGACGACCAAGAAAGTCACGTAAATATTGCCGGATCATTTTCCCGTAACGTACACCCGTAATCGCCCTCGAAGGGGTCGGAAGGCGAACCCTAATCAAGTACAAGCGAGAAAGGAAGTGTTGAAGAAGAAAGACAAAAAAAAAAAAAAGAAGAAGAAGAAGAAAAGAAACGAAATAAACGAAAAGAGTTGAATAGTCTCAACGCCAATCCAGCGTCGAATATGAAATCGTTAAAGAATTTATTTTCCTGAGAATCCGCGAGGCGTTCAAAGTTTATATTAATAACAACCAAAACGAAAAAGAGTATTTATTTTTCTTACACAGTATTGCAAGCCTTTTTCATTAAGGGTTTGAGGGGCGGTGGTGGCAGGGGGGAGGGGGGGAGGGGGGGGAGGGGAGTGGCCGGTGACCGAAAGATTCACCTCCAAGTTCGAGGGAAAATAACATTCGACGAAAACGAGATACGGAGGACGCTAGGTGGCGGAACCGTCGCCTCCGAGGTCGGCCGGCTTCGCCGCCATCTTAGCTTTTCGCCCGTGGCGTCATCTGTCGGGCTTTCGATCTCACTGGTCCCCCTGTGATTGGCCGACGGCCGCCGATAGTCGCGGCCGTAGGTTTCAGGGAGAATTGGAGGGGGGAGGGTTGACCTTGGAGCCGAGGAATCCGCCGCTCAGTATAGAAAATAAGACGACGGCGAGAATACATAGAAGCAAAGAGTTCAAAGAGAGTGCATTGTGTACATAATAACGCAGGGGAACGAGAGCAGGGACGAGGAAACGCAAAGCGTTGCCGTGAAATACAGAGGGGAAACGACACCTTTGTAAATTAGCTTTGTACATTAACCCTCCTATATTTTTTTTTTTTTTTTTTTTTTTTTTGGTATGTTTGTTTATCGTCGCCGGACGAACCGTGAAGGAGGACTGTGGACGTTGTTAATTGTTCCGGGAGAAATT